ATTCGACGACCTGACAACTAGTTTTCAACACATCTACGCAGCGCAAACCAACAACCTTCCAACTTGGAAGGCTCAGGTGCGGAAAGTTGCACCTTCAGCCACGGTACATGGTAAGTCAGTCCGGCGTATGACGCTAGCGACATCGCATCATGTATCGCTCACGCCAGGCCAGGCCAGGGTGCACATGTGCATGTGCTTGTCCCCACAGTGCAGCACAGGGTTTTTTCCGTCCAGTCTCCTGGATCGTATGCGCACGTGTGACGAGGAACATAGAAATAAAAACGTGTAGCCTTACTATTGGCTCAACATCCGAGTTTTTATACTTTTATTTTCGGTACTTTCGGTGTATCTGTTTCATACCTAAAATTTCAATACACCGAACAAACACTAACACACATAATCCAACAGGGAACTCCTTCTGTGTACCGAAAATTTCTGCACGCAAGGTGTGACTTGCGCTCATAACGCTCGTATTGCAAACTTTCACATGCACACAGATCTGGTACTTGTCTGCAGTAGTACTGGCATATGCACATGCCGGAATGTTTAAAACCAAAATACACAGTATTCGTTTCCGAAACTTCGAATTGTTCTCCAAGAGAATAGTTCTAGAATATTCGGTGAATTTTCAGAGCTTTGAGTACAGTGACACCAGTTCTAGTCTAGCATGAAGTGCTGCATATCATGTGTTGTGACGTGACTCGTATCGGAGAACTTCCTGCTCCCATGCCATTTCTTGTTGTTCCAATTTTCTGTTGTCTGACATTTTGTTTTGTTTTGATGGTATGCAGAGTGAAGATCTGAAACAGAAGACTGCGGAGTACGAAAGTGAGGTCAGCGTACTCAAGAAGAACTCACTCGGCAACATTAAATTCATTGGGGAGCTGTTCAAGCTGAAACTCTTGACTGAGACCATTATGCACAGGTGCTTGATGAAGCTGCTGGCGGCTGGAGACGATGACTCTCTGGAACTGATGTGCAAGTTGTTTGGGACCACAGGAAGACTGCTCGACCGCGAAAGGGCTAAAGTAAGTACGCCTGTTGGATGTTGATATAATTAATTATAGTATAGTACAGTAGGTATCGGTTATAGCGTGGGTGTTTGAAAAGTGACTTTCTATTCTTATTCCTGATGTTTCTTACACACGATAAATCAAGTGTGGCATATCATATGCATGTGCGCAGGGGCAGGACGATCATCGTACATGCAACGCAGTACTTCTGTGCATGTGGCGGGTCATAATCCCATACTGGCCATAGGCTTACCATGTGGCTATGCAACACGAGTTTCATGACCACAACAGTTGAATCTGCAGCACTACGACGCAATTGCAATCGCAACGAGAGTCAGATCAGAACGGAATTGGACAGATGTTATTACTACAGGCGATACACTTTGTATTAATCTGCCATGTTTCGCTACACAAAGTCCATTCTTAGGACCGATATATTCTACTATGGGATAAAATTGCTTGTAAGAATAAATGTGCACTTGAAATCCATGTTATGATTATGAAAACATGAGAGTTCATTCTTGTAGGCAGTATATTCTTTTACACGACCACCACGCTATAACCGATACACACACTGTAGTACTTTGCTATTCGCGAGCAATGCTAAAAAAAAGGACTGTTTTTTCTTCAGACTTTTCCCGTTTGTCTCTTTCCCTCAAACTAGTGCAGACTATAGTAGGTACTGTTAATTTTAATTTTGGTTTGAATGGCAGTGAAGAGACTGTTTTTGGAGTTGAGAAGTGAAGTCTAAATGTGTAAGTGGCTGCGTTGGAGTTTGCGGACAATTAGAAAAGTTGATAGTAGATTCGGTTTTATTCACTGGCTCTTAAAGACTGGAGCACTATTCAAGAGGGGGCTCTAATCGCGCGAGTACGGTATTTCAATTTCCCAAACGACTGAGAATTGACCAAGTTACGATCGTTAGAAATTATTTAATTTATCGATCACCCGTGCTCGATAAATGTATGGCCGATCCATCCGTTAAGATGTTCAAATCTCATTTACTGTTGAAGTTCATGGTAGTTGTAGGTCTCTATGGACACGACCCAATGCAGACTTGCTCACTCTGTGGGGTCTGGGGGTTATGGACTAGTGTTTGCGGTCATCAAGGGTAAGCCAACGTCTTTTCCCAAGGGTTGTGCTTTTTTTCATATGGCCGCTAGATTAACATTGCACTGAATTCCCTGCTCTCCTCTGTCACTGGTGAGGTTTGCAGCTACGTTGGTGCTGACATTCCTTCGTTTTGTTTGTTTGGGCTGCTGCTGTTTATGCCTCAAGCCTAAAACCTTTGTAAGCCGTTGTGTCAAATTGTACAGTGGTTTCAAACGTCATTTTTTTAATGCACTAGACAGGTTCCGCACTACGTAAAGTCGAGCAACTAACTTGGCGTAAGTGGGTGGGAAATCCGGTGAATTGGCAAGTTTGCACGCCACCACGGAAAGTTGTCTACGTAGAGTAGGTAAGTAGAACTCCACTATCGGACGTGCTCCGTAAGTGGATTGGGGTACGAATGACTCTCTCCCCAGGTCTTACACTGACGCGTTCAGAGTTGTCAAGGGCAGCTATGTGATTCAAAAACGTTGTATGGCGGAACATGAATCCACATGCAGTGTACGTATGACTTTCTGTAGATTGACCAGCGTATTTTCCTTTCCAGTGTGTTAGCCACATCGGGGTCTGAGCCCCCCCCCCCCCTCCCCTTCGGGCCCAAAATTCGTATTTATTCTGACATTAGGACTATAAGCCGCACGTCATATTTTGAATTTTTGGCCATACAAACTTGATGGGTACTAGTACCATCATACGCGGCATTTAACAATGGTCAACACGTTGAAAAGCACGGCTGACGTTCCAGCCAAAGTTTCTTTGTTTATCCCTCACTCTGAACTGACAACATAGAAGGATCATGCCTGTGCAGGGATGGATTTCTGTGCATGAAAAACACCTGAAAGTAGTTGAATGACACCATACGTGCATACTCTGCATGGCACGCTGTATCACTGGTCGATTCATGGCCAGCATTCGGAGTCTAAGCCGCAGGGGCGATTTTGAGTTATTTTAGGCTCTTAACCCTTTACCGGCAGCCCCATACTTGTATGCGTCGTAAACGACGCATTCGACATGCATACTAAAACCATGCCTGGTATGACAGGAAGGATCAGCCCACGGGGATTTCCCGTGGCCCTCACACAGCCTAGGTACGATCCTATCCGTAGCTGGAGAGATCTGCGCGTGTCCCTTTTGATTTCATTGAGAACTGCGCGATCGAAAACTTACGGAAATACACGCGCGCCGACAATGCCGTCTGGCTCCGTCAAAACGTCGTCAGGTGCATTTCCTCTTGCGCAGTGAGTTTCTTTCGTCCTCAGATGACTTCTCCGACGAGGACCTAGCAGACCTTCGCTCTGGGACCGACGACAGATAGATAAATACTTCGTTCCAGCCGCCGATGCAAGCGAATTTCAAATTGCGGAGCGGAGCGCACGCCAAGTAAATTCTCACGCAAATATCGGGAGCTCCAGCCGCTGAAGACGATGTCGTCGTGTTGTACCTGGAAGAATCTGATGGTGCTTATGGTGGGGAAGCCATGGAGAGTGATCCCCGTGTCGACAGTCTCCCAGAGACGGAATTTTAGGCCATCGACTTTCAACGTACCTGAGTGACGGCAGCGCAGCGCGACTTGCGCACGACCTTACGGAGCCATCAGACAGCGATTCTGGGGCCATGCTTCTCTCAATTGCGAGCGAGGCACGGCCACTAAAGTCTGTGATGGCTATGGCGTTCGTTTCCGCTCCGAAGTCGACATGTTTTGGCAGTATCATGTCAATGTCGGAATTTGACGATTTGCATTGTGTACAATTTCCCTGTTTAGATGTATACTGTATAAGCAGAAATATTCGTCTGGAATTTAATTTCGTCTTTTTCGTCCAAGGAACCTTTGGACTAAATTAAATGCCGGGCTAATGTCGATTTGTCCAGCTTTTCTATACACTCGTATGATCCATGGACGAAATTTTCAACCGGACGAACTCCCTTTCTTTGGAGTTGGACGAAATGATTGACTGACGAAATTTTCTGCCTCTACAGTAGGTGCCAGTTTAGCAGCGTACGTGTGTGGTATGTGAAAATAATTTTTTCCATGATCAAGAAGTAATACCAGACTTCCAAGAAAACATAACTTGCACATACAAAATGTGCCCTCGTTGTGAGTTATTGGCATCCTTCTCAATGTTATAAATTTCATATACAAAATGCACTTGCCGGTAAAGGGTTAACCCTTTATGTACCAGCCATCTAATGTATGTAAGGGGAGATCACAGCCAAAGAAGCAACCATGGTATGAAATCTAGGCAATTTTTGTATATGCAAGTTGTGTTTTCCTGACTCCGTATGTATCACTGCACCCAGGTAAGCATGGATATTGGGACAGCATGCAGTAGTATATGAAGGCCATAGGTGGAATACCAAAGATACGCGCCAATTGTGCATATTTCTGACCAACCAGGGTATCACAAACAAAAAGACTGAGAATTAGTTTGTGTTCATGTACTGGGAACATAGGGACAAAACAGCCTCATAAGCGTTGTCTCAGTGCATGAAGAGTAACAACATACCAGGGAAATGGTCATATTGTCACACATTTGAGGTAAAACAATTGGTTCAAAATTGCAAATTTTGAATTCTTGTCTCAGATTCGAAATCCATATTTTTCTTCATCTACTCGCATCCAGCGTCAGGTAAGTGAAAGAGAAGACAAGAAGCAGTCGCTGGCAGGTGAATTACGCCTGCCTTGACGATTTTAGGCCATCGCTGCCCTCCCTCTCGCTCCTGTTTTGAGAGCGAATACTGCGATGGGATCAGCGATACAAATTTGCAATTTCAAGTCACATTCTGTGCCGACATCGCCACAGCCGATCTCTCCAAGCGTCCACCACATCTAGAAGACGTCGACATGACCTAGAACAAGCTACATATTCGCTACAAGCAGAGAAACTGAGCGAGAACACAATCGAAACAGCGACAATTGTTTGCGCTGAAAAGCATACTTTTGAACGCGTTCGTTCTCCATACTTTCAAAGGGCAACCTACCCTTATCATGCATCAAATTTTCATTGGGATCTCAGCTGTCCAGCCCAAAAAAACCGCGGGTCGATCGGAGCTACGGCGGCGGGGACCGGCACGCTTGATTGGAGTGCAGCGAACCGTACCATTTGGTAGGTTCGAGATGGGGCTGGTACACAAAGGGTTAAAAGTGTGGCTAACACACCGGAAAATACAGTACGTTTTTTTACTAACGTAATTACATTGTGCGGAATTTATTATCTTAGCTGTCTAACATGGACTTCAGAACCAATCATGAAACTTTTACATTTGATACAACTCCACGCTCACTGCGTTGTGTGCTGTTGTTCTCCTCCATAGGCTCGCATTGATCAATACTTCGACAAGATTAGACGAATTATCAAGAAGGAACCTGGAAAAACGGGTGTGTCCACGAGGATACGATTCATGCTCGAGGACCTGGTTTCACAAAGGAGGGTATGTTCCGTGTGCGATATGATGCTCTCTCGCTGAACGTGTCTATCTGTCTATCTATCTTTCCTTTGTTTCTTCTTGCTCATACGCTTACGGGAACGCAGTTCTTTGATTTGAACTGCGAGCCTATCTGATATCAGTGTGGCGCCTCAGGTTACTGGTTCAATTGTGATGTGAGGTGATTGCTCCTGTATCAGGATTCATGTTGTCAAAGAACTCTCCGTTGTGATATTTCTTTATTTTATTTTTTAGGTCCTGTACAAATCCTCGCTTTTCCAATACGCTGCATTTGAGTTCACGAACAGTTAGGAAAATACATGCTGGGTCTGTGCGCCAATTTAGTGGGAGGAGATGATCAGCTTGTAGTTCTAGGGCGATGAACAAGGGGGAAGTATTTGCTTGATTCTACGGCGCTTGCTTTCATGTTCAGTTTGTCGCTACAGAAATGCTTGCACGACAAATCCCTGCACGCACTCCTCTATGAGGCGTGCAGCTACGTCTGTGCACACACATTAGTGTCCCGTCGCCACTTTAATACCTAGACTATAGCAAGCAGTTTCACCTAGATGTGAGGTGTGCTCTGGTTTCTTACGAGACTCTTTGGCTGATGATGAAGCTGCATGGTGTGATGGAGGCAGCAGCAGCAGCGTGCCTCACTGCTGACCCATACTCTTGTGGATGGATTCTTGGTTTTACAGAATGCCTATTGCAGCACACCTGGCGAGAGTCTGCATTCCTAATACACTTCACTCATTTCGAACTGCTACTCCGTTTTGAGAGTCAATAAGGTTAAGCCCGATAAGAACAAACTGAGCATTGTTATCGCGTTGCAGAACACTTCGCAGAACAAAAATTAGAACCTCTCGGTTGCCGTCTCTTTTGTTTTGCTTGTCTATGCCGTAGCGTGCCTGGGCGGCTCGCAGGGAAGATAACAAGCCGAAGAAACTGAATGAAGTTCATCAGGAGGCCAAGGCAGCGGAGAATGCGGCGGCGGCAGCAGCTGCCATGCCACGCTCCAGCTCCTCACGTTCAGAGAGGAGTTCTGCACATGGTGGAAGTAAGACCTCGTGTGTGTGTGTGTGTGTGTGTGTGTGTGTGTGTGTGTGTGTGTGTGTGTGTGTGTGTGTGTGTGTGTGTGTGTGTGTGTGTGTGCATGTGTTTGTGTTTGTGTGTGTGTGCAGTGGCGGATCCAGGGGGGGGGGGGGTCCATGGAACCCCCTAAATTTTGCAAAGTGTGCGGCTGAGAAATATCGAAAAATATCTTGTGTGCACAAAAGGACGTCCGTCCGATCACAGTCAGTGCAGTCACTGAGTCAAGGAGCACAGACTGTCAGTCAGTGCACTGCATGCGCGTGCGGTAGATCGATACTAGAGAGGTTAAGATGCACGTTATTTCCGACGTGACGCAAAAGTTCAGCTCGCGTTATTTGCTCGCACGTCGAAAAATCAACGCGAGCGACCTGCTGCTCACGTCGAAATTTGGAGTTTTACGCCAAATTTGACGTGAAATTGCGCGTCACGTCGGAAATAACGTGCATCTTAACCTCTCTACTGTACGGATAGTAGTCTGTACTGGTGTTCACGTCCGTGATTTACAAACGGACACTGTAGACAACATTGGGTGGTTGTTTCCTTTTTGATCTTTCGAAACGATCCAAACTTACCTCCATTGGCGCTGTCATTCACTGCTGCTCAGGATCGGTGTGGTGTGGTCAGTATTCCTTGGACAAGTTTTTTGCAGAAGAGAAAGGATGTTCCGAGTACTGACACTCTTCAACGAACTTCGAACCGAAAATAATCTTTATTTCAGGATTACCCAAAGGCTGACGCCTATCAAGATGAGGGCTCCGACATCCAAGCAAAGTCAGTAATCTCTACCTGCTGCAGCATGCAGTAGTGACTAGTTGTTCCTCCGCAGGAACGGAGTGCTGCGCCAGATGTGTTTCAGATGACATTGGAAGGATTGTACAATTGTCGACACTGTTCCCCTATTGTTGCTTCTGTCACTGAAGTGAAGACGATGCTCTTGTCCTGTGACTATAGAGCATTTCGCATAGTAAAAATGCCAAAAATTTCCGAAAGCACAAATGGACAGGGAAAGTAACTTAGTTTTCATTTCGGCATTCCTGGCTCTCAACGTACCCATGGCTTGCATATTCGATCTTTACAAGAAGTTGAAAGGGTCTTCCGTACTAAATAATATACAATGTAGGGTAAGCAGCAGCATTTGGCCCTGTACAGGTTTTCCATCGTCCACCACACCACAACTGCGCTCCGACTCAGTCTCCAGCGATGGTGCAGTGGTGGTGTGCTGTGGCAACGTGCCGAGGCCGGCTGGAGAGTGCAGTTGTGGTGTGGTCGATGATGGAAAAATACGAGAGAGCTTGGAAGCTCAGGGCCCTACGCTATGCTTTTATGCTTTTTTGCCTAGCTCATCGTACATGTTATAAGAACTGATGGAATTGTCTTTTTCCGTTGATTGGCCACATCACTGTATTGCAAAAACGTTTCAATCGGTTTGAATAATGAGTTAGGCAAAAGTATTTGCAGAATTTATTGCGGATTGTTATTTCTCTAATAATCATCTACTTTTGTTTTGCTCCTTCTTTAATTTTTATCTCCTTATATTGTAAATCAACAAATTTTGGCCAATGAGAAATAGAAACCTCTCGATTAGAGAGTTAAAGATGCACGTTATTTCCGACGTGACGCGCAGTTTCACGTCAAATTTGAAATCGATCGGTATTTTTGCTCTCACATGCATCCATTGCTCAATCATGCATCATTTGCCTATATGACAAACGTTGGCCTGCGATTTACTTTGGCCGGTTGGTACCAAGCGGCGAAATCAGCGAAATTAAATCGCCAGCAAACATTAGTTGATTTTAATACAGGAATCGGATTTTCTGGCCTTTTTGTAGTAATACATGTACATAATCATTGACCTGTTGAGCCAATGACGACGCCGAATGCATGGTTGCCTGTGGAGCACATTACATAACTTTACAGTCTCCTAAAATACGTATCCTGTCCGACGGCAAAAGAGGCTGCAGATTTAGTTTTTCTGCGCGTCGACGGGATGTCTGCGACGCGAAAGTTCAGCTCGCGTTATTTGGCTCGCACGTCGAAAAAATCAACGCGAGTGACCTGCTGCTCACGTTGAAATTTGGACATTACATAACTTTACAGTCTCCTATATAAATACGTATCCTGTTCGACGGCAAAAGAGGCTGCAGATTTAGTTTTTCTGCGCGTCGACGGGATGTCTGTCCTGACGTTTACTGGGACCGGCGCTGACTCTGCCGATCACGGGCGTTCTGGACTCGACGGGATGTCTGTCCTGACGTTTCCTGGGACCGGCTTAGACTCTGCCGATCACGGGCGTTCTGGACTCAACGGGATGTCTGTCCTGACGTTGCCTGGTACCGCCGGACTCTACCGATCACGGGCGTTCTGGAGTCGACGGGATCTCTCTTCCGACATTTCCTGTGACCGGCACTGAATCGCTCGTTCACGCTTATTTTGGAGACGACGGGATCTCTCTTCCAAAGTATGTTTATGCTGACGCATCCCATCACCTAATCGGCGTCTATTCTAATTTAATTCCCGTAGCTATGCAGAAGACGTTACTTCAGTAACGTCTGGCGCTAGCCAGGGTCCACACAGCTTTAATTTGGTATTTGTTTGTTTGTGTGTGTGTTTGTTTGTTTGTGTCACGCCTGGCGCTATCCCGTATCTGTCCCGTATCTGTCCCGTATCTGTGACGACAAAGGCTCTACAGGATTGTACATAACAGCTGTCCACAATATTTGCGGGCTCCTGTATCTGTCCCGTACTGTACCAATATACGACTCCCTGATGTAGAGTGGGATTTGGAAAGAAATAGGGAGACGAGGAGGAAATTAAATTAGAATAGACGCAAAAATTTATCGCTTCACAGTATAAGCCCGGCTTTTATCCGCGACTTTACGGTAAGTACCGTACTCCGGAACATTTCACTGCTCGAAAACGGCGTATACAAAATCCGTAGAGCCTCTACGGATTTTGGCACGAAAAATCGTACTCCGGAACCTACCTCCCTATTACCTGACGATGGCTAAGTGCCGAAATGTTGTTAACTAACTGAACTGGTTCGGATGTGCAGCGCTATGGGAATGGGTGTGTCCACCCGAATTCCTTTCATCAGACATGAAGCTGCAGGAAGCCTCAGCCTTTCTTCAAACTTGTTTTTTTTTGAGCTTGTAAAATGCACTTCAGCTGGGGATTTCCCCATTTTCGCACGTACCTAGCCAGTCAGGTGCTATGACGCAATCAGGCTACGGGCATCCCGATTTCTTTGCAAAAATCCCAGCGCTCTGCGATAAGTTTGAGGGAATTGCATCGCGATGAGTATTTTGCTCGCAATTGCCATGATCCTGGCGGGTACCCTTGCTTCGCTCACTGTATATTTACGTTGCTGCTCGTCATATCTACTGGAGATGTATTCCTTATGGATAGAGCTTTCCAGGAGGCCCAGGATTGTGAGAATCAAAATGATGGACTTTCAACTTACTGTATTTTTCCGGTTGTAAGTCGACCTTTTGCGACTAAAAATAGAAGGAGAGAGGGTGGGGGTCGACTTACAACCGGGATTCGACTTATATTTAAGTTATAACCGGGAACTATCAGTATCTTACAAAAAATGACCTGCACTGCATGTACGAGAGCACCATGTGTACACATTTTTGCCAGTTTATTGGCCTTTTTCAAGGATTGAGAAGTTATACCCTCCAATAAGGAATGTTTACGTGATTAAGTTTTGTTGATGTGTTAGTAGCAGGGAGTGGTTAGTAGTGCTTCGTTGGGTGAAAACTTTTAAAACGCAGAATTGAGACCTCCGGATACGGGGGCCGACTTTCAACCAATAAAATACGGTATTGTCGGAGAAATATGAGCAAGAACGGCGAAAGTAGTTCTAGAGCTTTAATAAAGGGTTAAAGAGGAAGTACATTTTGTCCTCCAAAGGGATTTTTGCTTCAATTTTGCTCCATCCTACGAAACACATCCTACATTTTCCCTCAACTTGGTAAATCGTGGTAAATAGCGCACTAACAATCAAGATACCAACCATCAATGCATCGCATGCACAGGAATAGTGCATTTTTTGGTTCCTTGGGAAAAGGTTGGAGCACCCCCCCCCCCCCTTCCGGATCCTGCGTACGCCCCTGATCTGGGATGCTCTTTCTGCCAACATATCCACACCGGTGAGCATTGCCTCTGATTTTGCCTCTTTCCCCATCATTCACCTCTCTCTTAAATGTGGATTTAGGTCGAAGCCACTCAGGCCGTAACACCAACGCTGAGGGCGATGGCTGGCAGACAGCGCTACCACGCCAGCGCTCTGAGCCTGATAGGCTAAGGGGCACCAGTGTAAGTAGATGGCGGTTCGACTGCCTTGTGTGCTTGCAGACAGCGAACACAATTCACTGGAACCTCTGTTTCACTCTGTTGATCATAATGGTAGTTTGTTCATCTAGTTGGATTTCAACCCCTGCCCCCCCCCCACCCCTCTCTCCTTTTCTTTCATCACGTATTTCATCTTGTTTGGTACGTGGTGATTGCAGCAACGTGCGGCACTCTCGCATCGCACAGATGACACCAGGAGCTCGGGCCCGAGTGGTCGCTCTTCCGGGGGACAGGGTAGCATGGGCGGCACCTCTCGCAGTGCTCCTCGTGATGTGGAGCGGGGCAACCGGTAAGTTCTCCTAGTACTGTGGCTGTGAGTGTGACCGGACATTATTTCCTGCATTGCTGGCAAGTTGACTCAGTTCGCCAACGTCTAGCCTGACTTGTATCAAGGGATGGATTCGTTCAGGACTAGGAATAGAGAGGTTGTGCACAACGAAAATTCGTAGCGCCGTAACGAATGTTTTGAACAAAAAAGGTAACGATTATTCCTAAAACGTGAGGTTGTGCACAACGTGTGAACTTTTTAGTAGTGGATCGACTCGGTGGCTGGGCGGGTGCGAAGAGTCAAAACAGGGAGTTGTAAGATATCAGTACTTTAGTACTTGCAAGTGACGCAAAATATTTTCGTAGATCTGCTCTGTTTCGGTCGCGTTTGGACGGATCTTTGTAGCAAGTTTCGTTACTCGAACCCGGACGGTCAACATCTTACGAAGTTTCGTTGTGAGCAACCTCTCTAATACTGTATGTCAGCCCCTTTAAAGCCATAACCTTATATTCGAAACACCGCTGCTTTCCTAGCTATTTTAGATGCAAAATGACCCACCCACTACGCCATACCATAAAAGTCAAAGTCCACACAGAAATTTCGATCTAAATCCACTTGTTCACCCTTCCTGCTGGCCTGTAAGTTTGTTAGTATAGTACCAAGAGTACATAACCCCCCAGAGTGTGCAACTCCACTATGGGTGCTGTCCCGACAGAATTTCAAGTTGACGTCATTTTGATGATGCAATGCGCACTGTACACGGATTATCAGACGAATCCGGAACCTGTGGTTGACCGAAGCCGATCGATCCTGTACAAATTATTGCAAAGAAAAACGTGTGATGCGTTGACACCCGTACACATGTTGTAAATCACTGCTGCAAGGAGCATTGCGTCATAAATAATGACGTCAACTTGAAATTCTGTCGGGACAGCAGGGTATGTGGGAGTTGCACACTCTGGGGGGTTATGTACTCTTGATAGTACTTATTCCTTCATTTTTACAAAACATACTTCTAATGTGTGTGTGTGTGTTTGTCTCTCACACTTTCTTGCTCTCTCACTCTCTCGCTCTCTCTCACTCTCTCTCACTCTCTCTCTCTCTCTCTCTCTCTCTCTCTCTCTCTCTCTCTCTCACTCTCTCTCTCTCTCTCTCTCTCTCTCTCTCTCTCTCTCTCTCTCTCTCTCTCTCTCTCTCTCTCTCTCTCACACACACACACTCTCTCCCCCCCCCCCTCTCTCTCTCCTATTCTCAGTTATGCAAGCTTAGCAGCAGCTGATCCAGTTCGCTCTCCAGAGCAGCGTGTAAACGGTAACTCCACTGCATCATCACGCAGGACAGGATCAACATCCTCTTCGCACGGCTCGGCCGCGACACACACCAGCGCAAACCGCACTAGCTGCAAGGAACAAGTTGTGAGCGGAGGTCCGCTGCCACCAGGTCCTCCTCGTGATGTTCGCAAAGAGATTCCAGATCTCGATCGCTCTCTCATTATGCCTGGAGGTGCCTTAGCAGTTTCACAAGCTGCTATCACAGCAATGAATAGTGATACTGCACCTGAAGTGGCAGATGTCGAGAAGAAGGCGCGCGTTCTCACTGAAGATTTCTTTAGCAATCCCGAAGCTGGCGTAAGTACACATTTAGTTCATAGGGGTGTTGCTGAACATGTACACTGCCCTGTTGTGCATCCATAGGTGTTGTTTTGGTCAATTAACCCTTTCCATGCTGGCCTACTTTCCCCAATAAACTGGCATTCCAGCGCACGTATCCTCCTGGTGGAGTTTGGGCACACTGCTCCAAGAGGTGATAAATAGGGTTGATGTCTGTATTTCGGGAAAAATCTGGGTGCAGCTTACACTCCAAGTGTTGCTTATACCTGGGTGAAAACGGTACGTATTGCCATTACCGTAAAGTACGCTGCAAGCGCCCACCCCATTTTTGCAAGATCTGCTGGTCTGTACACACTGACCCCATGCACTGTCACCACTACTGTACGAAAGTGCATCTCACACCGTAGCGCGAAGAGCGCTTTGCTACGGTAACTATGTCTACTTTCCTGGTTTCAAAATCTCTTTCGGCACTAGCCACGAGCTAGCTCGTAGTGATGTTATAATGATGGTTATTAAAATTTCGCAAATCCCGACGTCAGTTTCTTCCGAATAACAAGGTAGCGAAGAACAGAGTGTTGCAGAAACCGAAATACACTTCTGACGGTGTTTCAAGCCTGACATACCCTGTTCGACTTGCAACTGCAATACTGCAACCAGTCAAGTCGTTGAATGAGTCTTTTTGACGCTTCGTCAGAACAATCACTGTTCCGTTCTGAAAGCGCGACATCGTGGCACTGCAGAAATTTCATGAAAGCCAGATGGATTCTACGGCAATACCACATGGAGAGCGAACTACCACAAAGACGACTCATTTATTGAATGAAAGGAAATCCCCACAGAAGTTTTTCTTTGCAGCAAAATAATGACAATCGCTTTTGAAGAGCCTCCTGGTAAGACATAGGCAGTTTGTAGGCATCACAGCCGTTTTCGTACGCATTCGATCTTCATGCCAGTTTTCTACAACTATATTGACCTGAAAAAGACGAAAATAGTATGGACCCGCTGGGGTGGGCGTTTGCTGCAAAGTGGGCGTTTGCAGCGGACTTTACGGTACTACTCACACCGATGATTCTCTTCCTCTGTCTACCAATATGAGCCGCAATCAGCGAAAACGTCCCTTAGAGGTTTCGTAATTTTTTCGAGAAAAAGGTCGATTTGTGACGTTCAACGATTTTTGATTACAGCGCGACAAAGTTCTTCTTGAGCTCCTTGCTTGAAGTAATTTATTTTGAAGTTGAAGTGGTGTCGAGTTGCGACTCGAGTGTTCCTTGATCGTGTTGCGATGGCTGCGGACGCCAGAGCTGTTCGCCGAGCACATGCGGCTGTCATTGTGCACAGCTAGCTCGAGCCTGGTGGGGAGCGGATGCTGAAGTAGCCGCTGAAGAGTGAGGATGAGACGTTCTTTGGTTCCGACATCCATGTCGACAGCGAGGCGGAATCGCAGCCGTCATGTCCTGCTCAAGGTGGCCGATGACTCGTCAGAGTCAGAAGATGAAGAGTCATCACCTGAAATAAATAATTCTGAGTCTGGGGCTAGTGACGGCAGCGACGCCATGTCTTCAGTTGCTGAGGAAGAAATGGAAGACGAGAATGAGGAACGACTCCACGCAGGATGCAGCTGCGACAGGATGCAGCTGCGAATATGTCGATCGTGTCTCCGCACTCTTCAGCTATTCTTTGTCATTCTAGCTGCCTACTGCACTGTTTCAAAGGTAGTCAAGAGCCCACCCACCTTAGAATGCTGAATATTTATTGTACACATGCATCATACACATAAATTGCACCAAATTAGGAGTACATCTTGTATATTGGTGTATGCACACGTTTTGAATCGGAATATTGAACTTTTTCTCGGCTGAGGTCCTTCAGGAGATGTGTTTCAACCAATTTTTAACCAAAAAGAGATTTTGAAAAGTTTGGCCCTATTGGGCTGTTTTCGCTGGTTGAGGCCCATATGTTGTGCTCATGGTAAAGTTAATGGGAGGATTTCCATGCTGGCCTACTTTCCCCAATAAACTGGCACTCCAGCGCACGTATTCTCCTGGTGGAGTTTGGGCACACTGCTCCAAACGAAATTTATTCTCATTTCAGGTCACCTGGATGGAATTTCACCATCCTGGGCTTGGAAAGATCAGGACCAAGCGAATCCATCCTGGAAGCCCTTAGCTCAATAGCCCCACCACGGCCACTTCCACGACCTCACCAAACTGGCCCACTATACCTCGGAACGAAACAACAACTCAGTCACACGTCCCTTTTCGACTCCTTGCTCCTATTCAATCGATTTTCACGATTCAAACTGCTCTCCTATGCTCAGATCCACACGCTTCACTTGATGTCCATAACACATGCACTGGGCAAAAGAGAAATCCCTGGCATGCACAAAAAGCGGTCTTGAAGGAAAAAAATCGCGACCACTCCACGCCGTTGTTTCCGTGTTCATTTTGATGGAATCAGTATCATGATGTTACATGTACATGTACAAGGTATGTTTGAGTGCAAAGTAATTTTCATTTTATTACGCATTTCTTCTACACAACTCACTTCACATCTTCGTATTTCTTATGATTGATCCACCTGCACTCCGGTATCAGTCGAGGAAAATATTCTCCCAGGTGTACACTAGTCACCACAGCCATGTGATGACATTGGGACAGTTCCCAAGCGCGATTGAACTCTCCAGTTACAATTTATTTGTCCAGATTATCTGTGAAGACAACATGCAATGCGTAGCGGCAATCGATGGATGAAGAGAGAGTTTGTAAATATACATATCTTTCCACTTGTTCAGGAGCTTACCGTTTGGAGTTCACATCGTTTACGCGATCTCCCATGCTGCCTTGCACCTTGGCTTTGTTGACCATGGATGCGCCATCGCAGAAAACATTCTACAGGAGCTGCTAATGCAGAGCGTTTTTCACGCTCGATCTCGGCGATCTACCTCGTCCCGCCAATATAATCCTCCGTGACATTGGCTACAGTCACAAGAGGCATCTCTGTAAGGTCATGAGCACGACAACACCGTCGACATCAAGGAGAAAAACAGTGCACTCACTGAAAACAGCAAAGAAGAAACAGAGACAAATACAAGGAAAAAGTTGGAGGCGTATCCAATTTCGAAGCGAAAGGTGTCAGCACCGACACAATCCACATAGTCAAGTAAAGCCAATTTAGTAACCGAACGTTTTTGTTCCCTTCTCATCATGGATAAGTACAGGGAATAATGGAAGATGTCGAAATGCAGCAACTTATAGAGCTACAGCTAAAGCATAGATCGAGAACCTCACGCTATACATGTGGAAAAAAATAAAATTCAGCTGAACGTGTCAAAAACAGAAGACAAATACATGATTCTTATGTGTTGCCACTGACAACTGGTTCGGTGGAGAGTACGCTACTTTTGTTTGTCCCCAGTGGGATCGTTTCTATACGTATCGAAGGAACTGTGACGTCATCAGCCCCATTCTTGTGTTGTTTTTTGGCTGCACTCTCTTTTCAGGAGGTTCGGCTTTGTATAGCAGACATCAATTCGCCCATAAGTCACCCAGCCATTGTCTCTACAATGATAACCTGTGCATTGGAAATGAAGGACACGCAGTGCAAGCTAGTTGCCGATCTATTCACAGAGCTGGTCCCCGATGGCACGATCAAGCTGGAGTGCATAGTGGCTGGGTAAAATTATAAAATTTAATGATAAAGTTATTTAAAAGTTTCCGTGAAGATAGGAATGACATAGTATCAAGAGTACATAAACCCCCAGAGTGTGCAACTCCCACATACCCTGCTGTCCCGACAGAATTTCAAGTTGACGTCATTATTTATGACGCAATGCTCCTTGCACCAGTGATTTACAACATGTGTACGGGTGTCAACGCATCACACGTTTTTCTTTGCAATATTTTGTACAGGATCGATCGGCTTCGGTCAACCACAGGTTCCGTATTCGTCTGATAATCCGTGTATTGTGCGCATTGCACCATCAAAATGACGTCAACTTGAAATTCTGTCGGGACAGCACCCATAGTGGAGTTGCACACTCTGGGGGGTTATGTACTCTTGATACTAGTAGACGCAATGAATAGAGTGAGTTGCGCACTCAGTACAAACACCATGAGCAAAACCACTTGTCATGTACATGGATATTCCTTGAACGTACTCGAGGCCAACTCATCAGATCATCTATACTGAGTGCGTAACTCATTCTATTCATTGCGCGGATAAAATTTTCTTTTTAGTATGATCTGGAGTCAGCGTGCACTTTTATTTGCAGTTCGTGTCGAGGCACAGTGTGCCTTTGATGTGGACTACTATCCTATTTCTTGCAAAGACTTCTGTTGCTTTTGCACATGTGGCACTGTGCAGTATGAAGTATAGTGCACTGAAACCTGTCTAAGACGACCCACCGTTCGCGGGACATTCAAAATGTGGTCTGTTACCAGGTGGTCTCCTTATCCAGGGTCATTTGACTGGAAATAGCATCCCTTGGTCCTGGTTACAGTGGCCTTTGGGACAGGTGGTCGCCTTATCCGAGTGGTCGCCTTGACAGTTTTACTGTACATGAAACCAAGAATGTTCAACTCAAATGGGCTGCTGTCATGGCAAAATTCCTGTATCACATCTTTACAGTGATGCAGTCTGAGTGTGTGCAATCAGGATTCATGCACTTCATCTTAAGCTTTAAAAAAAACAACGGCTATCATATGTCTGACCTATATAACTTCACCATCTTGAATAAGAAAGAAGTGAGACTGTGAAAACTGATGGGCCGGAATTTGCGAATGCACTATAGTACTGTTTATCTTTTATTGTTTTCATCATAGTGCTAAACTGTCAGCTGCGTTTTGTTGCCGGAATGATTGAGTCGCTGTGTGTTTGTGCTCTGTGTTCTTTTACCACAGACTGTATCGAGTTCTGGAGGAGACACCAGACTTGGCGTTAGATATTCCGCATATCTATGATCTACTGGTGATTGTCATTGTTCCGCTCGTTTTCAACTGCAAGTTAAAAATTTTCACACTATCAGAGCTAGTCGTCAAGCATCTCCGAGATGTCGGGAAAGCAGCCGTCTTTATGGTGAAAGTGTTGAAGGCTATTGCCGAGAAAAAGGTATGTACATAATTATCACAAACGAGTTTTCTGTTGCTTTCGTAACGCTGTGCGTGTGTGTGTAGGTCAAGCACTGCAAAGTGGCAAGGGTGCAGATCAAACCTTGTGTTCTCTGCTGCAGCTATGTCGCATTTCACCCCGTTTTCATGCTGCTATTGCTGGGTCATTTTTTTTAATTATGCTGCTGCTGGTCCTGAAATAGGCACATGGGGGAGGCGGTCAATGAGCCAAGTTTGCACAATGATGGATGTTGGTAACTAAGTACCCTTTTTTACTGTCCGTTTGTTCCAGGGAGAGTTTGTCGCCCGTCAATTGTGTGGAACAGCCTATCTCAAGTGGAGCTCACTATTGCAAGATGGACAGAATGTTGATCAGTTCCTTGCTGACCAAGGTGTGCAGTTTCTGGACTGCCCGTCCCTTCCATATTTCCTGGAAGACCGTTATAACCGACCTCGCGGACGTGATGTCAAGGATTGGATTGACGTGAGTCAGGTTTGCTTGCAGGTCCCGGTAAAATCCACGCCCAGGGTGCATGACTTTTCAGTGTTGTAAGGAACTGAGAAGTGGGTATGTGGGTGTACATGTTCCACTGACACATACCTTGGATTTGTCTTGTTTTAACTTTCTATGCAGGCAGGTATAATGGGATGGTCTAAGACCATGATTGAGAAACAGAGGGTACCAGGTTCAAGTCCTGCTTGGAAGCGGAAGGAATTTTTCCAGCCGTGCTGTGACCCACAGTTATTTGGGAACTCGTGGCCTGGCACGAGGGTAACATGGATGCAGCTAATGGGATTTCGGTCTTTGACCACTTGGTGGTGGGTCTGATCTACTCACCTCCCACCGTTTAGGCGCTGCATCTGCGCCTTTGATCCTAGAGGGTGGTGGCGTTCCCACGGCGGATGCGGAAAACTCGGCTTCCAGCCGAGTCTCACGCGAACCGTGAATTTTTTTGTTTTTTTTTTACCTTTCTATGCATTCAGCGCACCTACCAGGATACAACCACTGCTTCCTTTGCTGAAGATTGTGCATCCAGAATTGCCTGTGCTTTCATTGGTAAGTCTTATTGTGTGTGTGGGTGGGTTCTTTTCTTTTGCACACCAAGAGAAAAAGCACTGAGCATAAACGTGGTGATGCTAGGAGGGACATAATAACAAGAACTCAAGAGCACATGCTTGGGAACGAGTCCTTTCATTTATCCGGAGTACGATAATTTTTCCAAAAAAATGGGCAAGTAATTGATTATTTTAGGAAATTAGAGGCCACATGCCACATACTGCTCGTTTCTCTCCGAAACTCAACACTTGCAAGCCAGATATGAAAGAATGAAAAATCATCAGTCACACCACCGGGACTCGAACCAGAGACCTTGCTATTCGCGAGCAATGCTCTAACCAACTGAGCTACAGTATGACTCTTATCCACGGTGATGGTAAATCTATCCTTCTTCGATCAATCCATATCTGGCTTGTATCATACTGGCAACTCACACCAATCAAGAGGGCCCTCGGCCATTCGCTGGTTCGAGTCCCGGTGGTGTGACTGATGATTTTTTTCTTTCTTTCATATCTGGCTTGCAAGTGTTGAGTTTCGGAGAGAAAAGAGCAGTACGTGGCATGTGGCCTCTAATGTCCTAAAACTTTGAAATTCTCCGTGAAGTCGAAATTTGAAATTGCAATTGATTATTTTGTTCAAATAATGCCTTTGAAATACCGCTATTCCCTGCTTGTGACTATGGTGAACGTGCAGTTTGCTCTTCCTGCACACACACACACACACACACACACACACACACACACACACACACACACACACACACACACACACACACACACACACACTGTAGTGTACTGTACTGTACTGTACTGTACTTGCTCACTGCCCAAATTGGTCACGTGGGTCTCCCCGGGAGAGGGGAGAGAGGAACTCAAAAGGAATCTTGGAAAGAGGACTCAATTGGCTATTGAACCGCCCAACGGCCGACACCCCCTGAAATCCCCAAACTATGGGTGGACTTGAAAATGATCCCAAGTACACGCACACACGCACACACACCTCAGACCTCAGACATGCCCATCGCGGAAGCGATGATAGCGAACAGCTATGTTAGACATAGCAACTTGTGCTGGGATTACACCATTCAACAGTTTGCAAGGCTGATGAATTGACCGCCACTATTTTTAGCCTGGTATCCACCACACAGCTGTTTGAAGTGACTTTTTCTGGCCAGTGAATCCCTATTTTTCATTTTTCCATTTTTTTACGCACACACACCACACCACATACTCTGGCATACACTGGCTGTTGGTAACCACCCAGGAGAATGAAAGAAAAGTCAGACACACACACACACACACACACACACACACACACACACTTTGGTGATGACGTCGCAGTTATCAATTTCATAATTATGCATGTTGTGGATCGAATGTGATTCCCGGGATCAAGCGGCGTCCTGCCATATGAGGGAAGTGTGAAGTGGCGTCTGTTAATGGCAGGTTTTGCTGTGTTAACTATGGTACATTTCTGCTCATTGTCGTTCTAGACCCAACCACTCGCGAGTTTGCGAATGCCAAATGTGAAACCTTGCTCATACTCGGCATTTCTAGATACTTTGAGCATGACCCCGATCTCCGGTACGCTGTCATCCTGGGCCTGGAGAAAGTCGCTGCTCAGTACGATCACCATCCCGGTGAGTGATGATGTCGCTATTTATTTTGTTTTCTCTTGGTTCTTGGGGGGGGGGGGGGGGGGGGGGCATATGCCAGTCGCCTGTTGCCATATTCATATTGAAGTAAGTGAATACTGCACCGTTGCAGGTAAGTGAAATTGATAAGTAGGCCGACCAGTCGATAGAAGCAAGAACCTCATGGACCAGTGCATGTACTACATCCCAACACATCTACACACTGAGTTCAGTTGAAGACAATCGGTTCATCTCTACTCTTGAGCTTCTTGCTACCATGCAATCAGGAAATCCTGCTCAGGCAGAGTGCTGTATACCGGTAAACGTGCGCCGCTTTTAGTTCGCAATTATTTGCTTGCACAGACAAATTTGCACCTGGACATGTTTGCGATTGTAGTTATTTTAGTAGTTTTATTGCAACAGTTTTACATTATGCACAAGCTTCATTTTGCCGCTTCGCTTCCATCGCGAACGCGAAAGTATGATCAGGTTCGTACTCTGCCTTTCCGTGCTTCTAATGAACATCCGGTATACGGTGTCGGCTCACCAGCTTTAGGACGCATGTATCTTCCATCCGTTGTTCTGCTTCGATTACCATAGCTGTGGTGTGCAAATTCCTTGCACGTTGCATCTCTGGCTACTCGTGATGGTGTCAAGGAGCCATATGTCCGCGAAAACTGTGATATCATTAAAATTCTGCCGTGGTGTGAGAGATTGCGGACTTGCACACTCGTGGTCATGTACCCCTGCAAAGCTAGACGATCGGAACTTTCGTTTTCCGTTTCCAAACCTGTATCTAATAGCATCTGGTATTACAGTAGGTATCACAATAGTGCTGTTCTCATATGTCATGTCCCTTTGCTGATGATGCTGCTGCTGCTGTTTGTGTGTGTGTGTGTGTGTGTGTGTGCGTGCGTGCGTGCGTGCGTGCGTGTGTGTGTGCATGTTGTGCATGTTGTGCATATGCACCACAGGTATGCTCCAGTCCTTATTTGATGCGTTTTACTCTGGAGATGCATGCGATGACGGAGCATTCTTCAAGTGGGAGGCGATGGCAACACCCACTGGAGGCGATTGCCTTCACGGTGTAGCACTCAACTCTGTCAAGCAATTCTTGGCGTTCTTGCACTCTGAGTACCCTGACCAATAGGGTTTAGATCACTAGCAGTCAGTCAACGAAGAGCTTCTGCAACTCCTCGCCATCGTCTATGTGTTCCTGGCTTAGGTTGTGCAGTTCATCCGCTGCCAGCATCTCCAGTAACTGTCAAGCTGATATCCGCTTCCGTGCTTGGTCCCGATTTCTCCATTTCCTGAAACAATATGCGAGCCACCCGTCGTTCATACTTCATGTGCCGCCCTGCTCTGTGCTTGATCCACACGTTTCTTTGGCTTTTACCGCCGCTTGTGTCTGATGTTCTGAATGAGGACTAGCCTCCAATCCAGTCATAGTGGTGTGAGCCATCCGTTCATTCTGCATGTGCAGCACTCCGATGATGGTGCTGTCAGCCATCCGTTCATTCGTCTCAGCTATGGTTTTGGCTCTGAACTTGTGCAACTGCGAACTGAATTAGATGACAACGTGAAAGGTTGTAAAATACTAAAAGCCAGCAAGACGGTAGTAGTTGTCCAGGAATTGGAACTGGAACTGGATTTGCATTTGCATTTGTATTGCATTTTCAACCATTGTGTTTCTTTTGCCCGTGAAAGAGGCTTGAGTATTAATTGTCAGGAATTGGAATTGGACAAACTAAAAACAATCATCTGCTCTGTCCTATCTTTTTTGTCAACATTATTTCTGATCAATGGATCTATTATGGATCTGCTGCCAAATGCTTCCGTTGAGGCCACCGATCATTGTCCTTTTACTTTTTCTTCTGATTGTTCTATAACTTTTTAGATAGGACGACGGTTGCTGAGCTGTTTTAACCCCTGTGTTTTGCGTCTCGCTTGTTGTCAGTCGAATGTTTTCTGAACTTGTTGCTTGTTAGCGAGCAGCACTCTGTGCAGCTAGCGTTCTCTCGTCTCTTTCGTCGATGTCCATTTTCTTTACAATGGCTATGCCGGTTTTTAAATATTTATTCTTTGCTTTGTGTACCCATCTGTTTTCTTAACCCCGTGCGGGGCGCGCACAGAAGAGGATTATTACAACTCGGAACCTAGCCCAGGGAGTTTCCAGTCTTCGCCCCGTGCTACCCCTCGTGTCACATTAGACAAGCTCGTTCATTTTGACAAGGGCACACAGAAGAGGTTTACAACTCCAAGCCTAGCCCGGTGAGTCTGTAGTCTTCGCCCCGTGCTTCCCTTTGCATCGCATCGTTGGACAGTCTAGTTGTGTCAGTGTGTCAAGTCTCCATCTACCGTTTCGTTTCAGTGCCACTGTGCGTTCATACTGGCAGCGTTCCACACAGCGTGACCTCACCGGCTGTGTGCCTGTATACAGCCATGTTCCAATGTACCGACGACAAGTGGCCAATGTTGACTTGTCAGTCGCCTGCTGGTGTTCAGCACAATGTCTCCTCGGTCGGTACAGATACTGCTTAGGAAGTCCTCCCAGCCAAGCCTGTTGGATGGTGCTGAGTAATGATCAGTGGTACTACTGGATCATTCTTCAATATGCAGTGTTGTGTAGTGACTGAAGCAACCGCCAAAGTGTTTCATTGACTGACATTATTGTTTCAAGAACTTGTTGAATGTGCTCTGGCCTGTGTGTGTGTGTGTGTGTGTGTGTGTGTGTGTGTGTGTGTGTGTGTGTGTGTGTGCGCGCGTGCGTGTGTGCGTGTGCGTGTCCAATTTCACTTCAAGGTACCGGTGCATCTATTGTCTGCTTTTATCAAAGCAGCGTGCTGTCTATACTGGTTACCCCAGCAAGTGTAGAATGTGCATAGGTAGCTGTCTTGGCCGTTTTATGCCGATGTACTCCGTGTGATGTAGACCAGGTGTGCATTGGTGGTCGATTCACATGGCTTTGCCAGTATTGTGGATTACTGTAAAAGCTATTATTCTAACGAGGCGCATATATTATAACGATTTCCCAAAATTGACTAGTTTACGTGTACCAAAGGTAACGATTCTCACTCATTCTCAACACTCAATAGGACAGTATACGTATCGATTTCTGTATAACGATTTCTATTCTAACGACAGATTTCTCCTCGTTATCTCGTTAGAGTTAGCACTTCGTTATAATAATTATAGCGAAGTGCTAACGAGAAGCACGCAAATCTGCAAATGCACTGGATGTGAACCCACAGATTTTCTCTTATACTTATAGCAACGATAGTGAACAAGATCTGAATGAGACAGATCAAGACTTGTGCCAGATAACTGTCTACTGTAAAAGCCATATACTGAGGACATGTACAGCTGTACATGTACAGCTGTACATGTCCTCAGTATATGGCTTTTACAGTAGACAGTTATCTGGCACAAGTCTTGATCTGTCTCATTCAGATCTTGTTCACTATCGTTGCTATAAGTATAAGAGAAAATCTGTGGGTTCACATCCAGTGCATTTGCAGATTTGCGTGCTTCTCTTGCGACGGGCGTATACCGTATTTCCTCGATTAATGGACCATGCTCAAATAGTACTATTAGTAGACCCTCCTAGAGGCCTCACGGAAAAATAGTAGACCATGCCCGAATAAAGAGACCCGGTCTCTTATTTGAGTTCATCGCTTTGCGTATGCGCACTAAGAAAGCACGTGGTGGATCAAAAAGGACGCGATTTTAGGTTGCGCAACTACAATTTTTGTAGTGGCTATTGCTTTCTTTCATTATTTGAGCACGGTCCACTATATTTTCATCGGCACATCGCTGGAAATGCTTCAACGCCCCTAGCCTCCTTTCCCGTAGCCTGTATCAATGCACGTTCCCTTAGAAACAAATCTGCTGAGCTACCCGACCTTCTCACGACCAGCTGTCCCCTTGTTGTTTGCATAACTGAAACCTGGTTGTGTCCACAAATTTCCCTCTCCTTCCCAGGCTATGAATGTTTTCGAAGGGATCGACCCACCTCCGAGAATAAAATTAACACCAACGACTTCCTGGCCTATGGCGGTGGTGCTATCTTAGTAAATTCAAGTGCATTTGGTCCTATTACCCACCGTACAGACCTACATCTTCCGCAATTCGAAGCTATCTGGGTAGAGATATCGCCATCCACTGCAACCTGTGCTTGCCCCACGCGCCAGCAGCCCATCCAAATTGCGGCTGTCTACCGCCCACCGTCCACCGACCCGTCGGTGATAGATAACTTTTACGCCTCATTTCAAAGCTGCTTGACTAAAATACGGACCCCTGGCTCGCCAGTCCTCATCATGGGAGATTTCAATGCTTAATGTTCCACCTGGTATGGAACAACAACAGACACTGCAGGCCACCACCTTTCATGTCTTCTTGACATGTTTTCCTTGCAGCAACACGTCACATTCTCGACCCACCGCTCCCACAAAAGCAATGAGGCTGCCCTGGACCTGATGATCACTGACACTGCAGCCAACATCTGCGATCCGCGCACCTCAGCCCCTCTCGGTCAGACGGACCACTCAATTGTTCTCGGCCGTCTGTGCATCCCGACATGTACCGCATCACCACCTGCACCCAACACTACACTGCTCCCATTCCTTCCAGATACCTGACTTCAGTCAGTTTGACATCTCCTCCATTCTTCCCACTCACCTAGTTGCTCTAAATGAATCCATTGCTAATGTGAACTGGCATGCTGCTCTCCAGTTGAAGCTTGGAGATCCAAACCGTACTGCTCCAGCATTTTATGACATCCTTCATGGTCTATGCTCCGCTTTCCTACCCACCCGGTCGCGCTCTTCAGCCCCTAGACGACGTACACCAAGTCCCCCGTGGCTGACACGTGCTGTTAAAGCTCAGCTAAAGAGGAAGCGAGACTCGTACAGCTTGTATCGCAAGTATCCTACCCCTAGCAATCACGAGCATTACAAGTGCGAACGTAACAGAGCACGAATCCTATCTCGAGAGGCTCACCGCCAGTATGTGTCCTCCATTAGCACTAACCCCTCATCCATTATTGCATCCACCCCTAATTTGTTCAAGTTGGTTAAGCAGCTTCGTTCGCCGTCCCCTGTTGGAAACCCTATCATCGCTGAACTCCATGAAAATAACACAGTACACAACGACCCTACCCAGATTGCCAATGCTCTGAATCGCCAATTCATCAGCTTTGGAACACCGGATGATCCTGCATGGTCTCTTCCTGGTTTTCCATACCACGGGCTCCCAGCACTACCCTCTTTTAGCACTACTCCCACCGCCATTGCCCAACACATCCGTCGCCTAAAGCCCAAGAAGGCGGCAGGTGCAGATGGCATATCCAATGAACTCCTAAAACTGTAAAAGCCCTGTCTCCTAGTATAGCTATCCCTCTCAGCCTAGTTTTCAACCAGTCCTTCGTCACCGGAATCTTCCCTGATGTCTGGAAGGCTGCTGTGGTTGTGCCTATTTACAAGAATAAAGGCAGTAAACTGTCTGCATCCAATTACAGGCCGATTTCACTCCTTTCCACCTTTTCAAAGCTCTGTGAACGTGTGGCATTTGGCCACTTATACCAACATGTGAACCCGGTCCTTGACCCGTCACAGTCTGGATTTCGGCGAGGCGATTCGACCGCCTGGCAGTTGCTGAGGCTTGTGCAGAAGCTATAATTATGAATGCAAGGATCAGAAGCAATTTAGCCTCCTATGTTTTTTCGACCTGAGCAAAGCATTTGACACTGTTTGGACAAGGGGTCTCCTCCATAAGTTAGCAGCGTTTGGCGTAGCCGGGACGTGTCTGCAGTGGCTTCTCGGGGCCTTCTATTCGGTACTCTTTGTAGTTGTACTTCTGTACTGTTGAGCTATCCGAATTCAAATAAACACTAAAAAAATAAAAAAATAAAAAAAGCATAAGGCAATGGTGCAGAAAAGAGGTGAGAACTTTACTTCAAGTACAAACCAGTCCGTGCGCCAGTTCAGAAAAAGTCGTCTAAAAGTTGCACTTTTATTTTCCAGATTTGCCAGATTTCGCAGTTTTCTCAAGATATCGCGAGACGAATACTCAATGGCGGCACCTTCGTCGTCCTTTGGTTTACGTCTCCTGTGAGTTCTTCGTCTCAGATCGTTGTCGAAATCCAACCTAATAGTTGTTCTCTGCCCCAAGTTTTGTCCGTGGCGATAACAAATAACGAGAAATTGAGTTCTCGCTCGTCGCTTGCGTTTTCGTTAAGTCGCTGATATTTTGGATGAACATGCTATAATTTCGTACCGTTGGTTTGTACAAGGGTTTCGCTATTTCCTGCTTATTTAATTAGAAAGAGATATTAGCCAACAGTGTATCCTCCAATTTTGGTTTGTGCAAAAAATCCGACAGCGGTGATACCAACCGTTTCGTCAACACTGTATTTTTGACACATTTTGACACACACATGTCTTCAATTGGTGGACTTAAGAACGACCGACAGAATCGTTCAAGGGGTCCTAGTATTCTGCGATGTACCAGCCAGACCATTGTATCCGTAGACCACGAATTTACAAACAACACGAACCCCAACAGGTTGCTGGAGCTCCAAACACAAACCCTCGCAGGTCAATGCATGTGCCTATACTTGTATGTACAACAGCAACAATATCAAGCCAAATACAGTACTGAGGTGGGAAAGAAATTTTAAATAAATAATTCATGCAGAGAGGATGACACTACAAACACAGCACCTGAGCCAATACAATGCAGAATTGAAGTGAAAAAATGGCATCTGCGGATGGCCAGGATACGGTGCTACTATTTACAGAACAACCGCCACAAGCTATGACATAAAGTCTCGTACCTTCATTCACGGCGGACGCATGAAGCAAAGAATACGTTTACTATACACCCGTACATACATGCACACGTGAATTGACACGTGTTCACGCGCTTTTTTCAACAGACCCACACACGTCTGCATGTACATGTACATGTAAACGCACAGACATGTACACGTACGTACGTGCACGAACATACACACCCATAACCATGCACACACATACACACACACACACACACACACACACACGCACATCCGCTAAGTATGGGAGCATATGTGCACGAAGCATCACATGATTGCATTCACAAGTTTATACAAGTCAGCCAGGTAATGAATACATACTTGTAGTTGTGTGGTAGCTGCTACCACAAATGGAGCATTGGCTAGATATTGCAATAAGGAGAGTGTTATGATAGTCATGCAAAGGTTCTGCTGTTATCAACGAAGTGCACGCCTCTCGTGCTAAGTTCAAGATCCATTGTACTCTTCTTTGCAACATACTTCGTGCAGCTTGCATCCAATCGTAGGCATCACGAGTCAAGGCAGCAGCCACATCAGGCACACGGACCAGTAAGATTCACTGATATTGAGGATTCGGACCAGGGTGCTGTTCCGATCAAACTTACAATAACACCTTGTTGAGCTGGGTCTTCCCCACTGGCACAGCCACCTTGTGTGGCCCTACCATTAGTGGTCTCTGCCCGTTGCCTTCATTTCATTGGTAGGGTTGTGTTTGACGAAAAGCCCACTTGACTGCCTTCCAGCATATAGCTTTCAAATGTAAGTGTGATGTATTGATATCACAGACATGCTGACGTTTGGTACATGCCTCAAGGCTAGTCAATAGAAGTGATAGTCATACATCACTTCAAGCTAGGACCACTCCAGTGGGAGAAATGAGGTGATCCACTGTTGTCCGCTGGAAGCGTTTGATCCTGTTCACACACAGACGCACGCACGCACGCACACACACACACACACACACACACACACACACACACACACACACACACACACACACACACCTGTCCTGTCCTGTAGAGTCACTGCCGCAAAAGGGTCACGTGATCCCATCACTGGGAAACTTGAGAAGAGAGAGAGAGAGGACACGACGCTCGATGACGCTCCAGGTGCACGGGTAGTCGCATCCGCTTGCCGCATATGCACACGTGCTGGAAGGCTGAGCGCTCCTCTGCTGTTGGTCTATGCGCCACCCTTGAACAGCGATGCCTTCCCCGTCCCCGGACACCGCGAAAGCAGCGACCACACCTGTCACAATGCGCGGCACAACATCCCTCCGCCGGTGCCGACGCTCCGGTAGTTCCAGGTGGCACTGCGGCATCCACCGTTGAGGCACACACATGCCGGACCAAGCCACCGCGGCTTCTCAGCCACCGCCCACACCGCCCGCACTGACTAACGCCCCGCTGCTCAGACACAGGCCGCGCACGCTCCTCCAGACACTTATGCCGAGCCATGTCTCCTTTCCGTGCAAAATCCCGTCCGCATACCGTACATACCACTCGGGGCGGAGGCTCAGGCACATTGTCAGGCTCTTGGTAGGTGCTGCGCCACTCCGCGCGAGACTCACATGCAACATCATACCATGATGCCTCCACGCCACGGGCACGTAGATCTCGGACAGCACAGTCCTTCCATCTGCGGCGTGGGCCATGTGCTGGGCGACGCTGCAAGAAGGAGCCAAACAGTACCTGTTTTGGGATGCGGTTGTCCGGCATCCGCGCCACATGCCCCAACCACTCCAACCGCCGATGTGCAATTTTGTCTTTAATCGTCTCGGAGTCTCCCCAGCGCACCAGCAGCTCTTCGTTGGTGATGTGTTCGTCCCACATCCGGCTTCGAGAGACCCTGAGGATGGATCGGATGCACCTCATGCTGAAGGTTGAGAGCTTCTGCAGGTCATGCTGAAGGGGCGTCCAGCACTCAGAGCCATACAACAGCAGGGACAGAACGCAAGCATTGAATACGCACCGCTTGGTGTGCATCAGCAGATGTGGATTGGAGAATACAGACCTCCGAAGAGCACCGCAGGCCCTGGAGGCTTGGGCAATCCTTGCGGCGATGTCCCGGGACGAACGGCAACCGCTGTCCACTACAGAACCGAGGTATTTGAAATGCGGTACGCATTCCACCTCCGCTTGACCAAGTTGGAGGGGAGCGCGGTCAGTAAGCGTGATGCCGGGGCCAACAACTACAAACTGAGTCTTCGTTGCACTGATGGTCAAGCCGAATCCCGACGCCACCTCGTGAAGACAGCACAATGCTGCCCCCGCTCCAGACCGAGTCGTAGCGAATAAACAAGAGTCGTCAGCAAACTGGGAATCTGTAAGGCAATGGTGTTGGTCGTCACGGCGGGGTTTACGGTATAAATCGCTGCTGTATGCTGAGCGGAGCTCGAAGCCAACCCCGTCAACTCTCCTGACGCGGTGTTGCCACTGGGTCATCACGGCCCACATAAAGATATTAAAAAGGACCGGCGCCATAGAGCACCCCTGGCGAAGCCCATTGCCAATGCTGAACGGGTCTGATAATATGTTGTTGAACTGCACCGATGCTGACATGGGGTCGTGGAACGACTGGATGATGTTGATAAGCTTTTCTGGTACTCCCGCACGGCCGAGGACCTGCCACAGACACCCCCTGGGCACTGAATCATAGGCCTTCTTCAGGTCGATAAACACAAAAATCCCTTGGCCTGATGTTCGATTGACTTTTCCATGAGCTGTCGGACGGTGAAGATCATGTCAGAGCAGCCACGCCCTCGCCGGAACCCGCACTGGGACTCAGGGAGAAATTCCTCTGCGAATACCTGCAGCCTTCTCTGAAGGACACTCGCCAAGACCTTGCCGACCACATCCAGCAACGCAATGCCCCGCCAATTGTCGCACTGCGACAAATCTCCCTTCTTTGGAATGGGGATGAGGGTAGCATCCGCCCACTCCCGCGGAACGCAGCCATCTCGCCACACATCTCCAAACAGCTCCATGAGCTTGTTGTTGAGCTCCTCGCCACCGAACTTTAGCAACTCTGGCTGTATCCTCGATGAACCAGCAGCGGTGCCATTGCGAAGTCGAGAAATGGCCTTGGAGATCTCATGCATGGTTGGTGGTTCCTCAAGGCTCGACACTACAGGTCGCTGCTCAACGCAAGCCATGATATCGGGGTTGTACGAGCTCTCTGGGTTCAGGACAGATGTGAAATGCCTCTGGAACCGCTTGCATTGATCCTCAGTCGACTGGCACAGGTTTCCATTCTCGTCCTTAATGGCGGAAGTCTTGCACGGAGTTAATCCCTCACATGCAGCGTGGATAGCATGAACGCATTTCCAGACGACTGCCCCGTTGAAGCGCGCCTCTGTTGCCTCCTGTGCCTTATTCAAAATCCAAGCCTCTTTGGCATTTACAACGGCTGCGCGCGCCTGCGATCGAGCAGCCCCGAAGCTGGCCCAATACGTGTCGCCCCTCTGCTGACCGTGGGCAAGCCACTCCGCGTAGCACTCATTGCGGGCGCGCAGAAGGGGCTGTATGGTTGCAGAGTTGTCATCATACCAGTCGGCCTGACGGCGTTCGATCGGGCCCAATACATCAGCGGCTGTGGCAACCACGGTATTGCGCACATGGGTCCACTTCTCCCCAACGCTACCATCGCTGCTCCAGCAATCTCGCAATCCAGCAGATAAAGCGGCACGATACTTGTCCGCGGTGGTCACGCAGCGCGGGGGGCGACGTCCCACATCGTTGACGTCTTGTAACGTGGATGCGCAGGAATCCGATTGATCATGCTCGGCCACCGCCTTACTCCGCAGCTTGCCGACATTAAATCGGCGCCCCCGGCTCGCTCCACGTCGGGCAACCCCCACCGGGCGATGCGGGAACTCAAAGACTATACAAAGCAGCTGGTGGTCACTGCCACACTCAGCACCACGAACAACGCGCACGTCCCTGCAAAATCGCCGATGATCCTGACGCATCAAGATATAGTCGATGCAGTGCCACTGCAGAGAGCCGGGGTGCTGCCACGTCCGCTTGAAGATATCCCGCTTGGGGAACCAGGTGTTGCAGATCCACAAATTATTTATTGCTGCAAACGACAGTAGCTCATCTCCAGAGGAATTCAACTGTCCAAAACCATGCATGCCGCGCACACCACTCCAGCCATCGTCAGCTGTTCCTGAACCCACACGGGCGCTGAAGTCTCCAAGCAGAATACAGCAGTCCCTGTCAGGAACGCCAGCTATTACCTCCTGCAACTGTTCGTAAAACTGATTTTTGCTGGCACGCGGAGCTGCATAAGTCGGAGCATACGCACTGACTACCGTCACCCATGCGACTTCTCCCCCACGCAGGGCGAATTTGAGACGTGCAGTGACAAGACGAGGGCCCACAGCCCGCCAGACCGAACCACCATTCTTCCACGCGTCTGTTGCAAATTTATTGAGTGCCAGGGCGACTCCTTCTCCTCGTCTGTTGCCCGGAGTTCCATCGCCAGGCACGGGGCGACCCGAACACAAGATAGTAAAACCGTCAACGACATAAAATTAATGTCATCGCCGAACCAGTGTGTCTCCTGCAATCCAGCCGCCGCCACGCTCAACCTGCGCAGCTCGGCAGCAACACGACGACATTTCTTGTCCTCTGCTACTCGGCCAGAAACGCTCGCCGTAGCTACGCCGCCACTCCTTTCCACAAGGGAGCGAACATTCCACGACCCAAACGTCAAGCAGCGCCGTCCCTCTCTCCCACTCTTCTCTCTCTCCTTGACGTACTTCATAGCTTTTCGGAGCTGGATGGAGATATTCCACTCGGGGGCTCGTCACACCACCGCGAGTGGCGACTTCGGGCGCAGCAAGAGGTGGCGGTATCAAAAAAACTCGCCTCGTCCTCCTGCTACGTGGCTCCCGTCGTCGGCAGCTCACTGTCTACGCAGTCGATGCGCCAGAGCGAAAAAAAAGCCGTTTTTTATTATCCCGGTCAGCTCATTTTGTACAGAGGTGAAGATGACGATTCCGTGAAGAAGTAATGGCTGACGTTGTCGAACATTTACAGAATGGCTCAGACCACGCAGTGGTCGCCAGCTATTCTGCATTATATGAAGAATGTGATGTCGAACATATCAACGTGTTTGGCCTAATTCTCTAACTACTTGACAGCTAGTTTGTAGTGTATTTTACATGTTTTCTGTGAATTTTGTGTTTTATTTTGTGCGCATGCCCTTTGGCATCTTGGAAAGCGCACATTTTTTTGTTGTCGAAACTGTCCGTTCCACACTTGCTCTTCGGCCTTTGATAGCGAGCCTCTAACAAGTGCATTATCCCAATATCAACGTAGACGGGTGGGAGGGAAGGGACGTTGATATGTTCGACATCACATTCTTCATATAATCCAGAATAGCTGGCGACCACTGCGTGGTCTGAGCCATTCTGTAATTATATTTCAGAATGCTCTGTCTCCATATCAACGTGATTTTGTAGCTTGTCAGTGGTCGACAGCTTGGTAGACAGGACAGCCTTCCCGAAGGTGTTGTTCTTCTGAGGCTTGTAGTAGAACTTTTGGAAGATACTCTCACTGCTCCAATCTGCTGCAGAGAGGATATCGGTCGTTGTGACCCCAGCGTCTGCTGCAGCTGAAGTTGCAGCACTTCGCACCGAGTGCGCTTTGAAGATATCCGTATCGATTCCGGCCTTCGCCAGAACTGTTTTAATCCATCTGGCTACGGTCGATGATGACACCGCTTTGTAGGGTTGTATTGTAGCAATCAGGAGTTGAGCTTGCTTTTCATCATCAGCTCGATTCGCCAAGGTCCTACTTTCGTAGTCCTTCAATGTTTGCACAGGACACAATAGTGCATTGTCCTTAAATGCTGGGAAGAAGAACTCTGTAATCTTCTTGTTCTGCCTGGACTGCTTTGCCAGTTTTGTCGGGTGAAATGTTACGCCCTCCGGGCTAAACTGTCTGAACCTTATATCAAGGTTCACAAGATCCACCGATCTCGATGGCCTAGTGAGGGCCAACAGCATCGTGATTTTGAACGTTATATCCTGGAGGGACATTTGCTCGTTCTGACCTAGTGAGATCAGGTATGTTGTGACCTTTGATACGTCCCACGTTGAGGAGTACCTAGGTTGGGGTGGTCTTTCATGGAAGACGCCCTTCAGTAGTCTGCTTACCATTGGGTGTGATCCCACTTCGTATCCATCAACTTTGTCGTGGATAGATGATATTGCAGATCGATAATTACACAAGGACCTATACTGGTACTTATTCTGATAAAGAGAAGCCAAGAAGTTAACCACGCCGGCTATATCTCCCGAAATGGGATCAATGTCCCTTTCGACACACCAGCATGCCCATTTCTTAAAGAGGGAATCATAAGTTTTTGCAGACTTCTGTCTCCAAGATGCGAGGAGAAGTTTTGAAGCCTCTCCCGAAAGCTTCTCTGCTGAGTATCTTGACCTGAGATATTCCACACGGCTAGGGGTGGGTTTATCTCCGGCTCGTTGACTGGGTGAGTTGGTTGGATCGGGCTTCTGGAGCTCGTTATGAGACAAGGCTCTTGGATCAGCATGTCCAATAGCATTGGGTACCACACTTGGCCCGGCCATACCGGTGCCACGAGCATAATCTCTGCATTCTGTTGTTGGACTTGTTGCAGGACTTTGCCTATCAAGTTCCAAGGTGGGTTGGCATAGCCGTTCGAAACTTTCCAGTTCATTGTGAAGGCATCTGTGGCTATTGCTACTGGGTCGGGTCTCCAACTCACATACTGTGGGAGTTGATGGGACAGTCGAGAGGCAAAGAGGTCCACATCCAGTGGGCCGAATCTCGAGTTTATCCTTTGAAAGATTTTCGGGCATAGCATCCAGTCCGATCTGTCTTTCATCACTCGGGATTCCTCGTCGGCAATCACATTCAACGAACCCGCGAGATGAGAGGCTTTGAGAGTGATATTCCTCTGAAAGCACCACACCCAGAGCTCTTTCGTCAACCGGTTGAGTTCCGGTGATACGGTTCCTCCCAGTTTGTTGATGTAAGTCAGGGCAGTCGTGTTGTCCATCTTTAGATGGATCACAACATCTGTAGCATCCTTGGCATAGCTCTTGATCGCAAGGGATGCCGCCAGTAATTCCAGGCAGTTGATGTGCATGTGTCGTTCCTGTGGGGACCATGGTCCGCCTGTTCGAACATTGTTGAAAGATGCTCCCCAGCCTATTGTGGATGCATCTGTCTCTATCACCATGTCCGGCTTCGCCAACAGGAGTTGTTTCCCGTTCTTGTGAGACAGGTGATCCGTCCACCATGTCAGTTCCTCTCTGGCATCTGGTGACAGATGGCAAGGATGGGAGTACTCTTGATTCCCCTCCTCGAGAGACACTTGTAGACACCTCTGCAGGTGTCTGTAAAACAATGGTGCCGCAGCGATTGCTTGGGCCGCATGGTTCAGTTTGCCCAGAAATCTGGAAACTGCCAACGCCGTCAAGGCATCTGCTTGCAGTAGACTTTTCGCCTCGGACTTGATATTCTTGATCTTGTCTGAGGGTAACTTCAGCTCCATCGTTGCGGAGTTCACTGTCAACCCGAGGAATTCTGTCTCCTGGGTTGGAATCACTTGGGATTTGGTTTGGTTTACTGTGAAACCCAAGTTTTCGAGTAGAAAGATCAGGCACATCGTGTGTTGACGAGCTTTCTCTTCGCTTTCTGCCAGAATCAGAATATCGTCTATGTAGATGATTACTCTCAGTCCGAGTGTCCTGAGAAAAACCATTATTGGCTTCGTGGTCTTGGTAAAGACCCATGGAGCCGACGACAGACCGAAAGGTAGGCAGTTGAACCGGTACGTCTTTCCCATCCACTGAAATTTCAGGTAGGATGTGTGTTCCGGCGTTATCGGGATCGCAAAGTAAGCGTCCTTTAGATCGACTTTCGTCATCCAGTCGCCCTGCTTTAGCAGGTCTTTGAGAGTGTGAATTCCTTCCATCTTGAAGGAAACTTTCCTCACAAAGGTGTTGAGACTCTTCAGATTTATTATTGGTCTCACACCCCCGTCCTTCTTCGGGACTGCAAACAACTGAGAAATGAATTCTTTCTCTTGTTTCTTCATCTGTACTTCCGTAACAGCATGTTTCTCTACCATCTTTTGCACTTCTAGTGAAAGACAGTTCATCTCTTCCCCGGAAAAGACTATTTCGTGGGGCGGTTTCACTTGATGGGGTTGAGCAATCCAATCTATTGCATACCCTTGCACACAATCCTGTACCCAACGGTCGGATGTGAGAACTTTCCAATTATTTTGAATGAAAAGTTGTATCTTCCCTGCAGGGGGAGGACTCTGTAAGGCTATGCTTTGAGCGATGTCCACAAAACCCAAGTCCTTCAGGCACACCATAAGCGGAGATTGAGACATATTTGGAAGAAATTTTATTTCTTTCAAATGATTCATGAGGAGGCACTTCTGGTCCCGCTGATGCTCGTGTGCTGGACTTGGACTTGTTGGAGCTGGATGTCACTTGGCAGAGTCCGAGGACTTCTTGCTGCTGCCGTGGCTGAAGCTCGAATTGCCGGCGTAAGGCTGGTACCGTCCTCGTCCCCTGAATCCTCCACGGGAATTGCGGGAGTCCCGGTGAAAAACCGGCTGGTGGCTCTTGAAACCGCTCGGTTTCTTGGCAGGAGCTGACTGGGTATGGGTCTTGCTGGCTGCAACGCTGTTCAGCACCCGCATCTCGTCATCACGCTCCTTCGCCTTCTTATAAAAGCCGTCGCCAAACAAATGTTGACGGGCTTCGGTAAAAATGGAGTCGTCCTCAGCCATATCCGCAATGCGGGGGTTCAGACTAGAGAGGGCAATTTGACGGCGTTCCCGATTACATTGGGCCGAAAAATTCCCGAGGAGTTTGACTGCTGACTGTACAGCCTCCAATATCTCGCAAGCAGAGATATCCCCACTCTCTGCTCCCTCCAACACTCGAGTTAGGGGACCAACGGCGTCCAGGCCCAAGCTTTGCAGGCGCGCCAATTGTTTGTCTCGAGACTTTGTCTCATTGGACATCCTGGACTTCATGACTTTGTCAAGTCCAGGACAAGCCGAGTGTGGACAGTTTGGGGCACCAAACTTGTCACGAATTTGTCGCCTACTCGGATT